CATAGTGGAACAGATTTCAAGTCTGTCGCCTTAACCGCTCGGCCACGTTGTCACATCAAATCTGCTGCCTGTGTTCTAGTAATGTGTTAAGTATTTGCATTTATATCGCACTTTCCTATGGCTTTGGTTTTATGTCCTTGATATTATTTGCCATTATTGTTTCGAAAGATGAGATTATCTGTGAATAAAATTTGGAGTTGATCCCGTAAAATGTACGTTTACTATATCGCGACAGAAAAAGTAGTCTGGTGATTTTGAAGCGAGATATTTCTCTCTAATCGATGGAACTTATTGGTCACACCAAATAATTTAATTTCGCAAAAATGAAAATTAGCCAGCTGCTCCTACCAACTTCAGCATTAGCATCAAATCTTTTGAATTTCCAAAATGCGCAAGAAAAGGTTTTAGAATTTGGAAGTGAATTCAGCAAGTTGACTCACCAATTCATCTCCAAACCTTCTCTGCACGGAGACCAAAACTGGAACGTATTCACTCATTCAAACTACCCCGGGTATGCATTAAGGGTTAAAGTAAATGGAAAGCTGTGTGATCCGAATGTTCGCCAATATTCCGGATATTTGGACACTGCTGACGACAAGCATTTTTATTTTTGGTTCTTTGAAAGCAGAGACAAACCTGCTGAAGATCCAGTTATAATGTGGCTAAATGGCGGTCCTGGATGTAGCTCATTCACCGGATTGTTGGTAGAATTGGGTCCTTGCACTGTCAATGCAGATAGGCTTTCTACAACCCTGAACCCTTACTCTTGGAACAACAATGCAAACATCTTCTTTTTGGATCAAGTAAGCTTTGCTAATTCTAGCCGGTTAATGTTGGCTTCAGTTACTCTGATTCCCATAGGATTGATACTACTGTTTCTGCTGCTGAAGATGTCCACACTTTCTTGCAGCTATTCTTTGATGCATTCCCAACATATGCCAAGTTAGATTTCCATGTAACTGGTGAATCTTATGCCGGCCACTACATTCCAGCGATTGCTAAATCTATCCAGGACCATAAACACGCAATTGAACAAGGCTCAGAAGAAGGTCTACTTATCAACCTCAAAACATTGGCTATTGGTAATGGTATAACAGATCCATTGGTTCAATACAAGTACTTTCCTGATATGGCTGCGGATACTAAATACGGTCCAGTTCTCTCTGAACAAATCGTCGCAAAGATGAGATTCGGATGGCCGGTTTGTGAACAGATGATTAAATTCTGCTATGAATATACAAACAAGGAAATTTGCAAGTAATTTTGGTTAACCATAGACCCGCAGCAACGTTCTGTTATGATCTGATGAAGCAAGATTATGACGATGCTCATTTGAATCCCTATGATGTTCGTTTGCCACCAGATGATCATTCTACTGACGAGAGAAGTATTCGAATGCACGAATGGCTAAACAACCCTGAAATTCAACAACAGCTCGGTGTTGAAAGAGCTCATGATGGTTGCAGCGATAGTGTTGGTAGTGACTTTGAAAAGAACGGGGATACCATGCATCCAATTGTCAAAGGTATTCCGTCTCTATTAGAAGATGGAATTCAGATCTTAATTTATGCTGGTGATGCCGACTGGACTTGTAACTGGATTGGAAACAAAGCCTGGACGCTTGCTTTGCCATGGCACGGACAAGAAGGATTCAATAACGCTACCGATATCTTTTGGCAATCAGAGCTTACAAAACAAGCTGCAGGAGAGTATCGACAATTTGAAAACTTTGCATTTTTAAGAGTTTACGAATCTTCACACTTTGTCCCGACTGATCAAGTAATAATTATTAACAATAGCCTGAACACTCGCTAGAATTCATCAACAAGTGGATCAGAGGAAACCCTGTTGCCGTTGGGAAATAAATTGTTTTTATTCGTTTTACCATTCATCGTCGTCGTCTTCTTCATCTACTATTAGCATTTAAACACCTGACCCGCCAGTTACCGCAGTGATTCGTTTTTGTAGCGCATCTCTAAGTGCGTCTGCAATAGCATCTCCAGTTCCTTTGGGAGCTTCCTGTTGGATCGGGTTATCCGCAGCGGACTTTAATTGTGTTCCTTGCCGGATTTGAGACAACAAGTCCCCTGGTTGCGCTTTTGCCGGAGTTGCTTGTTTCGCAGGTTGTGCTGGGGCTCTTGCAGGAGTTACATGAATTGGCGGAGGAGGTGCATTGGAGAAATCTGGAGGAGGTCTAGAATTAACTAATATTACGGAGGAGGCGGTGGAGTTGCACCTGAAGGTTGATTGCGAGATGGAATAGCTGGATGTGGAACTCTACCGGGAATAGCAGGCGGGGCAACAGCAGGTCTTTCTGGAATACTTTTGCGTTAGTTAGTAGTTACTGTGATTGTCGGTCTGGAAGACTGGGAGGACCAGCTCTACTTGGTGGGGGAGGAGCCTTCTCAGCAATTATGTTTGTATTGGACTGTCCTCGAGATGGCGGCGCTTAATTAGAAAGTAAATACGCGGTGGTGCAGATCTATTCACATTCAGTGTTGGATTAGTTGTTGTGCTTCCCCTAGATGGTGGTGCTAGCTATTAATAAAAAATACGTGGAGGGGGGGCTCTTCTACCTAACTATTAAATAGAGATTACTTGCCGGTTGTTGTGCAGCAGACTGGCTTGCATTTGGTTGCAGTGCTGGTGGTGTTGGTGCTTCAATGGATGACGATGCCAACAATCCTGCATTTTCTTTCATGAATTTCTTGATCACTTTTTGCTGCTTCTTATCTTGCAATTGCTCATCAGTAATTCCAGCTTTTTGAAAAATAATCTTCCATTCTTTGGATTAGAAAAAAGTACCCATTGGGATGTTTTGGACACTGAAGCCATCTGCTTTGCTATAGCCTACGTGGCTAACGTGTTGAAAGTCTGATGGACCAGAAATCATTGCTTTATCCAACTTTTTTTCTTTAGTTTTAGTATTTTTTCTGAATAATCCAAACCCTGTGCTTTCTTTCTTTGATTTTCTTCTATCAAGACCGCTATCTAATGAGGGACTTGATTGATTCGCATTGGTAGTTGACGCTGAAGAAACAGATCGGATGTGGTCTCGTTCCCTTTGCGAAAACGCATCGTGAAAAACCAACGCATCATCCTCATCCGCAAATGAAAATCCAATCATGCAATTCTACATTAAAATCAAGTACTTTTCCAACAAACGAGTGAAAAAACGGTTTTTCAGCTTGATATTTAATATCTCCAAAAATATTAAAATCCCATAGTTGACTTCCAGACTGTATTAATCAATAGTACTTTTAAATCAACAATTGAAAAATTGAATTCGCCGCTATTCTTATTTTTGTATAACGCTAACCCTCCAGTGAAGGAATGCGAATATTCTTTCGCGTTGGTTGCTTGATACAGACGTGCTACTGTGCTGGCCAATACCTTGTTAGTTTCCAATTACTGCTCCATCACAAGATTTTTCAATGCATCTTTGTTCTTCAGGTAGCAATATCATTTTTGCGTGTAAAAATCAAACAATGAAATAAACAGAGCTAGTATTTGATCGAGCAGTTTTGAAGGCAGAATTTCATAGAAATATCATACTCAATTTTATGAACGTGTGGAGCTACTATTCTAACAATATAGTCGATACTGGAAGTATACTTTGGAGCGCCTATCGAGGTGCTCTCGTAACCAGGACAACATAGGTTTACTTTGCATCATAATTCATTTGAAATTAGAATAATCTGCAATAATACGCATGTATTTTCTTTTTGAGATTTCGTGACAACGTGGCCGAGCGGTTAAGGCGACAGACTTGAAATCTGTTCCACTTTGTGGTCGCAGGTTCAAGTCCTGCCGTTGTCGTTGCTTTTTTCTTGTTTAACAATACTAGTGGCAGACATGCGTCGCAATTTGCAAACCCTAATCTGTTGCAACTCTGAAATTTAGTTTTGGAATAAATGCAAGATTGATTTCGATTTATTAAATAATGAATCTTTTAAAAGTTAAAGATCCCGCTGATAACGTGAGCTTGTTCTTTTTTGTATACTTTGCTGACTCCGGTAGCTGGTGCAGCTAAAGGCCCTCTTCCGTGATAGTTCAAATTCATGCTTAATAACTCTTGCAATCTTGGAGCACAGAATGTATAGGCACCTTGATTTTGCGGCTCTTCTTGTACCCAATAGTAGTCTTGGACGTTTTTGAATTTGGCAATTTCGTTGGCCAAATCAGCAGTTGGGAAAGGGTTTAGTTCTTCAAGACGGATGAAGGCTACTTCAGCATCTTTTCCTTTGTTGCTTCTTTCCTTTACAAGGTCGTAATAAAGTTTACCGCTGACAAAACAGACTCTTTTAACAGAATCATGGGATTCAGGGGTGGTGAAAATTGGATCAGAAAGGACTGGCTGCCATGTGGTTCCTGGTCCCATTTCAGTCAAATCAGAAGTACATACAGGTGATCTGAGCAATGCCTTTGGACCAACAACAATTAATGGTTTCCTGTAATTTCGTACCATCTAGTGTTAATAATAAGTTACTTGACGTCTCATAACATGAAAGTACTGAGCTGGAGTGGTAGGGTTCACAACGTGCATGTTTGGATTATCTTGTTTTGGCTCCCCAGCGACATCGAATCTGTGGTCACATAGTTGCAAGAATCTTTCTACTCTGCAAGAAGAATGTTCAGGGCCAGCGCCTAAAATTAAAAACAATTACCATCGTAGCCGTGTGGCAATAACATTACTAGACCAGATTGTCTCATCCATTTAGCCTCTCCAGAAGACAAGTAAACATCAATAACAATTTGGGCACCATTGAAAAAGTCGCCAAACTGTGCTTCCCAGATGCAGAGACGGTTAGGAGTTTCCCAAGACACGCCATATTCAAATCCTAGTACAGCAAACTCAGACAAGTGTGAGTTGGCAATTTCTAATTTTGCCTGTGGCTTATCAGAAATATGATTCAATGGAATGATGGTTCTTTCAGTTTCGGAATCTACCAACATGGCGTGTCTTTGAGAAAAGGTGCCACGACCGACATCCTGCCCAGAAATACGGACATGATACCCTTCAGTAAGGAGGGAACCAAAGGCAAGTGCTTCAGCAGTAGCCCAGTCGAGGTTCTTTCCAGATTCCAATTTCTTTACTCTGTTTTCAATGTGATATTTAGCAATACGTGGATGAACAGAGACGCCATGGGTTGCAACAGACGCAAGACCAACTTGTCTTAGCGCTTCGACTTCAACGCCAGTCTCTGCTTTAACAACAGCGCTGGTAGTTGGAATCATATTTTTCCATTTTCCTTTGAATGCTTCGACATCTGGCTTGTAGCCATCAGAAACTGCCAATTTGTCTTCAAGTGCAGTGTAGTATCCTTTACGGAAGTCTTCTATTTCCTGTTTGGATGAGAACACCTTTTCTTCCAGTAATTGCTCCTCATATTTTGCCGGAACACTTTTCTGACCTCTGATTTTCTTGTACATTAATGGTTGGGTAAATGCAGGTTCGTCCAACTCATTGTGTCCTAATCTTCTGTATGCAATCATGTCCAAAATGATATCTTTGCGGAATTTCTGGCGATATTGATAAGCAATGGAGGTAGCAAATGCAACTTCTTCCGGATAGTCAGCGTTCACATGCAATACAGGACTGTTGATCATTTTGCCAACGTCAGAAGTGTAGACGGTGGATCTGGCATTCATGGATGGGGTGGTGTAACCAATTTGGTTATTTACAATAACATGGATAGAACCACCAGCAGTAAAGTGAGGCAGGTTGGATAAACCAAGAGTTTCAGTTACAACACCTTGCCCAGTGAATGCAGCATCACCGTGCATTTGAATACATACAACTCTGTCTCCAATGAAACACTCCTTTTCTGTACCTTCTTCGTATAAATACATCTGTCTTGCTCTTGCCTTTCCTAATGCAACTGGATTAGCAGCCTATATCAAATACAAATTACTTCCAAGTGGGATGGATTGTGGAGCATGGAAACATGCAATGGCTTGTCTTTTCCATAGCTTTCCAAATCAGTTGAAATTGCCAAGTGCGAAATAACATCGCCAGATGCTGGCAAGCCTTCAGCCAATTCAGCGTTTCCTTTGATTTTATGGAACAAAGCTTCAGGTTTGAAGTGTAAAATATCAGTCAATAAATTCAATCTCCCACGATGAGGCATGCAAACGATTGCATCCCTAATACCGGCTAAAATTAGAGAAAAGTACCATCGCCTGCTTCCTTAAAGAGAGTGTGCAAAACAATCATCATGCTTTCAGACCCTTCCAGCCCATATCTCTTTAATTGAGGAAACTTTTTCGCCATAAAGTGGTCAAATACCTATGTTAATACAGTCTACTTCAGATTTAGATAATAGGGAGAAAAAAGTCTTTTTATCTTCTGCAGTGTACTTTGGCTTTTCATAGGATTCTACTAGTCCGGCAAACCAGCGACGTTCAGCGGATGAAGGCAAGTGTTGAAATTCAAATCCGATCCTTCCAGTATAAGTAGAACGCAAGTGCTTCAAAATAGTTTCTACTTTGGCATTTTCCCTCGAAATGGTAGGATCGCTGGTCTTTCCAATATGTAATATACCAGCTAATGGATAAGATTTCCCAGATTCAGGGATGCCATAGCGTGTTGGGTCGAGTTCAGGAATAGGGTCCAGCTTGGCGAGGTTAAGCGGATCCAAATCAGCTAATCTATGCCCATTTGCCCTGAAAGAATGAACTAGACGCAAGAGATTAGAATTTTCAATGCGATTATTAATTTCTTGTGCAGAGTCTACAGTTAGAATCGCTTACAATCTTCAATCTTTGCCTCCCTGTTGTATCTGAATCCATAAACATCATCGTGGTTGTAATGATACTTTCTGGTTGGCGGCAATGACTTTACAGTTTTCCTGATTCCTGCTCTCAGCATTTTAAAAATTGAAATTTAAAAAAAGTCAGTTAGTTCAGTAGTCACAAGAGTGGCTTTCGCTGCAATACGGCCAGTTCGGTTTAACAGAGAGTAGACAATGATTCAAATTGCAAAATAATGCGCAGGTGTTCTCTGTTATTTAGGCTGCCTTAATTAAGCTATTTTTGGATGGTTTTAAGCAAATGGAGATGAAATATTTGTGTACCACCTTGGGCTCGGGGCTTGCTCGAATGGCGCTGGACTCTAGTAGGTTGGACATTAAGCTATGGATGCATGTCTGCAACTAGAGAGATTGAGATTGGCGAATTTAATTCTCCACGACACGATTCAATTCGCACGTACAATAAAAGAATGGGATATATTTGCTTAACCAATTTCGCTATTGATTTAATTTTGACTGTTCGATATCTACCAGCGCTCCCTTCTCCGTCTGCCTGTCGGATAGAGTAAAATCCTTAAAGAGAGGAATAACAAATATACTAGCAGTGACATGGAGCCCCGTTGCAGCCAGTGAAATATGCACAAGGAAATAGAAATCCAACGTTTGAATAAACTCTTCTGTAGCTTTGCTCTGTATGTACATGAATAGGAGGAAATTAAGCCAATCAACCATGTTTAGCGTGAGGTTGAAGAGTAATAGCTTCCGCAATGCAAATACAACGGATGGTTGCAGATTGATCTTTCGTTCTCTCTTGAACTGATATACCAGCCAAATCAAGTACGCGCATTGTACGTTAGCATACAGAAATGAGAGCATTAGAAATACCAGTGGTCCGAATCCAATGCCAAGCAGCAAATAATCTGGCGGATTACTGTAAAATAATATCACATAACTTGGCCAGACAGCAGCCAAGAACAGAGTTATTGCGAGAATACGGCCATACTGTATCCTTTTGTCAGTAATCCTGCCATTCAAAACTGAAAACGATCTTAGAATCTCTGTATTCAACAATACTTCTCCTAATATCGACCACTGAGCTGCCATCGTTTCAATTCGAAATAGCATTACATTTGGCGATCCGTAATAGAACCGCAGCCCACATATTAGCTGGATTATGTTTATAATTAGCAACAGAACTGCTGGGATTCTGAATTTTATAATTTTAATGCGATTTGTTGCTATTAGACATATACAGATAATACTTGATCCAAATATTACGGAGAGGAAGGCAATTGGTGTCCATTGCAACGATGACATGTTCCAGAAAATGAAAAAGCATTTATACCAGAGGTAACATTAAAATTTTTAATGCAGATTCGAAATACTTTGGAATGCCGTATCGCTGATTGCATGATAATTCAATCTCGCTGATAACAAACGCGAAAGCAGATTGCTATAACTCTATTTATTGGTTGATATATTCATCAACTTGCCAGTTCCCAGAGGCTTTAGCACAATCACCAAGTGTCCATTCACCAGACTTTTTAAATACCCCTTGCTCAGAACTTCCTGAAGCAACACCTTCTCCAACCGCGCCATAAGTTTTCAAGAGTTTAATAGACTCTAAATCACCCATATACGCTGCGAAATGGAGTGGGGAACCAGAGGCAAAGAATCTATTCGCGCCGATGCTGTTGTACAGTTGAATATATCCACCTTCTTCAAATTCGACGCTCATATTTACATCCAACATTCCAAGTTCTTTGGCGAGCGGATTCTTCAAGATGGTTTCCAACAAAGAGAGCTTGTTTTCCAAGGCAGACACCAAAATAGCGTGTACAATGAACCTTGGAGGAGTAGATCTAAAGTAATATTCAGTGGTTGAAGGGATATTAGTTGGTTTTGCATTTACTTCAAATGAGGGAAATTTGGAGGTTTCTGGTGAAATTAGAACTCTGTGAATTTGCTTGGTATTGAATAAAGGAGCTTGCTCGGATTCCCAAACTTTGTCGATAATCTGCTCCAATTCAGCAGAAAATACAATGGTTTCAAGAGAATATTTTTCAG